TACATGGCACTACATATGCCAACCCAGACCTGCAAGATACGACTTATTCTAAGGCACGTGCTTAAGAAGAACTGCATGGTGCAGAGCTGCACATCACATTGCTTCTCAGATCAGTAATCCTTTAAGTATTTTGGAAAATGCTTTGAGATTCAGCACTTAAAAACAACTTGCATCACCTTAATTATTGCAGTCCTGCTAGCTGAAAAACACCCCATCCTTTCCTTTATGAATCATTTTCCTCTCAGTTAATTTAGAGCTTTAACTCATGGGAATAAAAGGGACTTCTCCTATAGATGAAATAGGACACAGGCTGTTCGGTAAATTGTTACCAGGTGTACATTACTAGCCTGGGGAAACTCTCACAAGTAGTCTGCCTTGGTTTACTTCACATGAAAAACAAAAAGAAGTTCAGTATAAAATATCAAGAGCCGATTTGACATAGCGGCAAATTCTGTCACCTTCATTTCACTTGAGAAGTAACCTAAACTGCAACTAAACTAATTAAAATCACAGAATTAGCTACTATGCTATGAAATGGAATTGTACTGACAGTTTTTCATGTCATACGTTGCATCACACACAGCCAGTCTTGTTCTGCACAAAGGACATGTCAGGCTGTATAACACCAAGGAAATTCAAAGTGCTGATGCATGGATCCCAAATACCAAGTTACTAATGTTCACGGATGAGACCTATGGAGCACCCGGGTCTCCTGCTCACTTAATGGGAGCTGCTACTTACTTAATCATCTGACCTCCAAACACATGTAAGATTAAGAGTAGAAAAAGAACCATTCCTATTTTCAGCTGTCATACCAAATTCAAGAAGATACGCCACGTGTGCTCTTGGTTTCCTTAACTCTGATACTGTGTAATATCCCCTTCCCAGACCAAACATTTGGAAGTAATTCATGAAGCAGATCTTTAGTAAGAGAAATTCTGGCTTGCCTAAAAACAATAAATCCAACAAACAACAGGTTGCACTGGGACTATACGCAGAACATGCTGAGAATTAATGTGAAACACATTAAGGCAAATAACAACTTAATTGAATACATACGGGATCAGGACCCTAAGTGTGGCTGAAACATGAGCTATTAAATCTATAGTCATCCTGGCTTGACTATCAACATTGAATCCATTCAGCAGCAGCCCCCACTAGGAATTCACTGCTCAATATATTTTTATCACTGTGCAGTTTGAGCAATATTTTTGATCAATTCCTACAATCAACATTTGAACGCGGTGGGTCATTATTTCTCTGCTGGCAAAACGACTTCTTTAAACCTTGTTAATCAATCTGCCTGGTTTAAGTTACTGCACGACTTACGCAGTCAGCTGCGCACACTGCAGGAGCTGGAAAGGAGATTCCAGAGACACTTACACGAAACTCCTCATCAGGAGCAAATTCAGGTTAATTGCAGCAGGGTGAATCGTTTGGTGCCCTCTGCTAGCAGATGCCATTTCATTAGCCTGGGGGACTTCAAACCCCGGGTCCTTCCTGAGATTTCTCTGTCGATAACACCTCCCCATGCAGCGCAGTGGCAGTTAAATTGTTTACTCCTGCTTGAGACGGTGGAAAATTACTGATGTGCCTTCTCAGGGTCACCTCGCTTGCTAGGAAAGTTTTGATAATTAGAAACAAGACTGCTTGCCCTTCTCCATTATCCTGGCAACCGCAGATGAGTTATGTTAAAATGACTGGATCTTGTTTTCTCCAGCGAAGCAGAAGCCCATCACACCAGCTCTGCATGCGGTGTGTGTGCTCTCTGCTACGGTACCTGCGAAAAGTGGGAGACTGTCCTCAAGAAATGGAGATAACTAATGAGAGGAATGTACCTGGGTATCTGGGCACCTGGGTATCTTCATTAATGAGTCCTATAAACTGCGGATCTACAACTGGATCATTCTCTTACTCTGCTGATTTCTATAATGCTGATTACTGCAGCAGCTGAGCATTTAAGTACAAACAAATGAGAAGAAAACCAAACCAGAGGAGAACAAAACATCACAGTGCTGCAAGTTGCCCTGTCAATCACTGGATTTCACCTGCTTACAAGCACAAGAAACACCAAAGCTGGGGCTGTTGAGCCAGGAAAACTGTTGCTGAACAAACGGTTGGTTGTCTCCAGAGTGGAGTCTGCAGAAAGCACCTGGATG